CTACAAACTCTAACAAACATCTATTCACATAAACTTTCACATCTTACTAATATTATAAATGCGAAAGTTTAGATGGATGGATGGATGGATGTTTGTTGGAGTTTGTAGCCTAAACGGCTGAACGGATTTCGATGAAATTTGGTTTAGATGTGGAGGATAGTCTGGAAGAACACATAGGCTACTCATTTTTGTTTTTTTTTAATTCCACGCGGACGGAATCGCGGGCGAAAGCTAGTTTATAATATTAGTATGACTAGTATGATTAAAACAGCCCTGGATAACAGCATTTTCCATATTACATCGTTTCTGAATCTTTCAAGCTTAATGTTGTCATTACAGTCAGCCATAAAATTTTATAACATGCTAATTGTCACTACAACAATAAATAACCTCCAAAGAACAATTTTAGATAATAATAGATCAATTAGAGATGTTTTGTAAACTGGGTAACGTCTTAATAATGTGTTAATGACACAAGTAGTTAATGGCACCTTTTAATGATCAATTATGTAAGGATTAGTGATGCCTATTTTTAAAATTTATCTCATAAACTATTTTTTTTTTGGTTAGGTTGGCTAACGAGCGGCCACCTTAATTTCTATTTGCAGATGCGTTGCCTATCCTAAATTGACGGAGGAGACTCACATAAAGAGGTCATTTCCTCTTCCTAAGCCTCAGCTCCACCTTCAAATCCACTTTTCCTTCCCATCCTTTCTTCTTAAGAAAAAGGTGGAAAGGGAAAGGGACTAAAATTAGGCCTCTGGCACCACACTCATCAGACGAAACGCGGAACTGCTTTCACTTCACGCCTGTTTTCTGTGTGGTCGTGGTATTTCACCGGGCGAGCTGACCCCTTTATGCGAAGATGTCAAAGCGGGCTCTACCACTGTTACACTAGAGACATTATTGTGTGTTAATGGTCACCATAATGTTTATGCAAAATAACTGGTTGTGATTGCATTTAAGGAAAATCGTTCACAAATGTCAATATTATGAATTATCCCTATGCATTAAAGTAAGGGTTTTTAAATGTTAAGAATAAAATCAGGTTCCACATCAGTATACTGTGCTAGTGAGTACATTGTGATTCACAAATTTTCATTTAGTACCCATAATAAAAGCGATAATTATACATGCTGTCGGTAAATTAAATGCAGTGTATCGGAATTCGCTCGCTTAGTCATTGCATCGTAAAAACTGATTAAATGAGGTCGTTTACATGCCGATAATTTTAGCAAAACTTTAAACGACTGAAACCCTTACCAAAGAAGAAATATTCATCTTAGCTAGCTAGTTAGTAGCGCCCAGGGCGCCTGACGGAAAATGTAAATAAAAAGGGGCGCTACAAGTCTACGAATTATTCTCACGTAATACTTCTGCTTTCCCCCCTGCCCTTGTCATGTTTAAGCGCAGAATGAATCTCGCACAGGTCGCTAGTAAAGCCACACAATATCCCAATATTCCTTATCATCTATGCTTGTTGAATACAGTAAACAAGTTGGTAAGAATTGCGTGTTTTTTTATCAATAAGACATTTCTAAGCCGTGTCTGAGACAACTGACTGATAGCCGATGGTCAAATGATTTGATAAGATTGTGATATTATCTGTGAATTCCTTGTGAATCTGAATCTTGTGGGGTTTCACGTAAACAAGACAGTTTTCATTAATTTTTAGACTGATGCTGCTGGGAAAATGCATATAGCGCATCCTGCTATAATCTATGATATATCATAATCTATGATCCTAACGTGATATTACCATGGAACTGATGTGGAGTAAAAAAACTTTATGTCTAGCTAAATATCAGAATAAACTCAATAGTACTTACCAGCCTTACAAGGTTACCGTCCCTTCTATAGGAAGCTAATGCTTCATGGCCCTAAGTAACCTTTCTTTTGTTGAGAAATAAAAAATGTTCACACATTCATGATTGTCGTGACTTCCAACTAGTATAGGATTATATTATCTGTGCTTCAAACGTATAAAACGAATAAGATGACGTCATAACGCGTATGCATATAATCGTATAACTACAACTAAAACAATTTAAAAAAACATACAGACGAATTGAGAACCTCTTTCTTTTGGGAAGTCGGTCAAAAAAACATATAGAAGAATTGAGCACCTCCTTCTTTTGGGTGGTCGGTCAAAAATGCAAAAGAGGGCTTTATTGTTCTTAAATATAAAATGCATTATTGATTAAACTTAACTTAAAATATTCCCTATAATTATGTGGGTTGTTATAAATATAACTAGAAATTCGTTGCTTAAAGTTATTACATCGTCCAGCTGAACATACAGTTGTAAACTGGTCTAATTAGTGTGTAAAATTGCAATTTTACAGTTGAAAACATTCCTCACGGCAATTCGTTAAGACGACAATTGTATAAAATACTAGCTGTTGCTCGCGACTTCGTCCCTGTGAAAATAATGAAATATTAAAAACATATCCTATGTTACTCACAGACAAATTACCTTTCTATTGGTGAAAGAATTTTTGAAATCAGCCCAGTAGTTTTGAGTTATTATAATATAAAAATAAAAATCTTTACCTCTTTATAATATTAGTATAAATAGATAAATTAACGTTATACGAATTTACAAAATTGTATATTGTTATTGGATAATATCAACAGTTAAAATAATTAACTCTTATAGCTGAAGCTGATAACCCTATTTAAGAGTTTTAGTCATAAAATTATCGTATTTGTTTAATTAGTATATTAACTTTATTGATTGTTAACGGGTACATGTTATGATTAGGGTTGCCACCTCTTCGGATTTACCTGAAATATTGATTTACAAACTTGGAGAAGTTGGACCAGGTTTGATTTTGAGTGTCTAAGGATGAAAAACATGTACGGATGTTTATTTATTGAAAGTTGACAGCCCTAGTTATGATGCAAAAGAGAAACACGTGGGTATAGTGACCGATAACCTTGATAACAACATGAATACAGAAAATGTACGGCCTTTGACTTTTAATATGATAAATACACGTGTTTTTAATTGAAATAAATAAGCATTCACGCCTTTAAGTACATACCAGGGACAGATAGATATTAGAAAACGTAAAATCTTTGGTATTTCTTAATGTAAACTGGAGTTAAGATCAACATCTTAACAAAACAATAGCCGATATCATGTAGCTAACAATTGAAAACAAACTATTTGATTGTTTCTCGAGTTTTGTGTAATTGAATCGTTAAAAGATAGCTTCGTAAACGTTCCAAGAAGCCACAGAAATGTAATTGAATTAATGAATCGTGTAGAATTCATCCTCATGTCATCTCAGAATGTATAAAACATTTCATAAGAAAAGTCGCACAAAGTATACACTGCGATATCATCACATCCTTTTTAGTGCAATTGGTTAAATGGACTACTTCATTGAGTTTCAAAATGTAACAGAGAATATTTTAAACTTCAATTATGTATAAATTAAATATTCTGGATTATGTTAGTAGTGCTGAGTGTATATGTACGTAAAATGTTTACTTAAACACTTAAATTAGATATCTTTACGGAGTGAATATATCAAGAAAACATACCAATATTTTTGTAAAAGTTTAAAAAATAACTTTAGTGTGACTGTGCTCTTGTCAATCTATTCAAATTTTCGATATCAGTGCATTGAAGGTCGTAAAATGTACATTTTATTCCGGCCTTACAATTTAGGGATGGACTTTATGGAACCAAATTACCAAAATACGAAAATAACTCGGGTGTTTCATTTAAAAAAATAGAGGTTATTTAATTCAAAAGTGTATTTATTATTACAACCACAAAATGTAGAAACATATAAAAAGATTAATGTTAAATGAGAAAATAAATGATCATATTTGTTTCAGATAATATAAGATGACCTCCAAGGAGGCAACCCTGGAGAAATGTGATGGCGCAAACGGAACGACAAACATCGGTGGGAGTAGTGTCAAATTAAGGCGGGAACTGGGACTATTCTCTGCCGTAAACTTGATACTCGGCGTAATGATTGGCTCAGGAATTTTTGTGTCCCCATCTTCTGCTTTAGAACATTCCGGTTCTGTGGGATTATGTTTGATAATTTGGACTGTGTCAGGAATTATATCCTTATTAGGTGGGTGTAGGTAAGAAGCCTATCTTAACTGTGTTATTATTTTTAATTTTTTGAAATGAATCTTTCGTCTGCTTCAACTGTCTCTTGTCTATTAACATCTATAAGAATATGTTAAGTTCGATGGAAATTAATGTATTTATTTATAACAGGCCAAGGTATTATTTTATGTTAAAATACAATTTAATAGTTTTCAAGTTTCATTTATAGAAATATGAATGCTCAATCTATAAGATAAATATGTTTTTTTCAAGTAATCTTCAGAAGCTTATCTAAAGCCATTTGCGTAAAATTACACGCAGTAGGTATAAAAAACCTTTTTCGTGAATTTAACATTTTTGTAATTTCAGGGGCGTTGTCCTTCGCTGAACTAGGAACGGTTCTGGGTAAATCGGGAGCAGAATATGCATATTTTCAAGAAGCATTTAGCAATGCCCACAAATATTGGGGTCCTCTGCCCTCATTTATATGTGCTTGGATCTATGTAGTAATTTTAAGACCTGCCGAAGTAGCAATTATTGTGATGACGTTTGCAGAATACACCATACAACCATTTACCCCGGATTTAGAGTCAAGTTACAAAGACTCCGCTATTAAATTAGCAGCGCTTGCTGCACTCTGTAAGTAATTTACTCAAATAAACTATATAAAATGTTAATTTTAAAAGTAAACAAAAATTAAGAACGAAAAATGATTTCAATTTCTTTTATAAATGTTCAAAGTTGCCAAAATTAAAATCGTAGTCCCATCTTGTCTATGGTTTGACAAAGTTAAGTTATGGCAACAAAGCTGTCAAACGTCAAACAAACTCGACTGTCAATTTATTAAACGTCAGAATTTAAATTTGTCGGCGGTTGTGTTGTGCGATAAAACTTTTTAACAAAGTTAATTTATGGTGCTTTTTTATTATTTAAATCAAACTGCCTTTAAAATAACAAAAATCGTAAGTACTAATTTACCTTATCAAATCAAGTGAGATTACATAAAGTATTTAAAAGTTTACATACAGTGTGTGCGTTAGTTTCAGAATGGAAGTTGATTCTTGCGTTAAAACTAAAGATGTGTTATCACAAGAATTACGATCTTTACGGGACAGGAGTGTTCATATTTGTAAAGCAATTGAATCGTCGCATAATGAAGTTATCATTCCGAATAAAGATAAAACTTTAAACTACGTAGCAGGACTTCAAAAAGAGTTGGAAACATCGAATACTACTATTACAACGGACAAAAATTTATTAACAAGTCAATTTCTCTCCGAGATGAAAGAAAGAAGTGACGATGTTGAAAAACATATAGCATTCACTAAAGGCTTAATATATGATGTGGATGCCGAAATAGAAAGGTAAAAAGAGTTTATGGTTCCTACGAATTACTGAAACGAATATTAAACACTTCTATTACACTCTGACATGATGGTGTTACATATGCAAATGATGTTTCAGTATTCCACTGTTATACTATTGCATGAAAAGGAAGGTTTTGGCTCTCTACATACTAATTTATTGAAAGTACTAAAATTATATACAGAACTCATAGTCCTGTTAAGGTAAATTAGTTTTTAATCATTTATTCTTACAGGTTACAGAAATTAGTTGTAACAGCGAAAGAAGTAAGAAGTAGTCCTGTGGTAGAGAAGAAAGATATACAACCTCATCATATAGAGAAAGCTAAAGAAAAGTTTCATATGTTAAAACAAGAACTCCGTGGCCTCATATATTCACTCTTTCCAAAATGTTCCGGACTTATTACAGAAGTTTTAGCTGTAAGTTTTATGAATTATTGTTACTTAACAGTTTAACATGTCTTAATGAAATTTGCCACAGATAAACTAACACATAGTACTTATTAAGTATTTTAAACATTCCATGTGGACAAAGTCACAATCAATAGCTACTTTTTGTATGAATCTCAACTATTTGTATGTAAAGTACTAAAAGTAGGAGGCCTGATTTTAATTTTAGTCCCTTTCCCTTTCCACCCTTTTCTTAAAAGGAAAGGATGGGAAGGAAAAGTGGATTCAACCGCGGAGGAAATGCATAGGAAGGGGAAATGTCCTCTTTATTCCTCCTTCCGTCATTTAAGGGTAGGCAATGCATCTGCAATTGTAAATGTTTATGGGTAGTGGTTGCTATCCATTTCGGTGGATTGAGGTGGCCGCTTGCTCATTTGCCACCTTATATTATATAAAAAAGTAACATAAAGTAGTCTCTAACCATAGAAAGCTTAGTTTAACTTAAAGACTATCTGGTATTAGTTGAAAATTGCTGGTTTCTGTAAATGTTATGGGTAATTTTGGCTGAATTTTTAAATGTCTTAACAAATTATCATTTTCAGTCAACTATTAAGAGTCTGTCATATAAAACGATGGTTTTTTTTTTCAGGAATTAATGAGAGCAAAACTTGATGTTAACTCAAATGGGTATATACCATGCACAGCGGAGAATTTCCCAGCAATTGAGCTCTTAATGGATGCTAATTTAGTTAGCGCTAATCCATATAACAATACACAATTTAAATTAGTTTACTAAATAGTTTACTATCCTAGAGAATATTAAATTATATAATTTCAGTTGTTAATAAATAAAGTATAAAAATATGTATATTCGTTTTATTGACTTAAACATATTGTAGCTACCTTTAAAAGAATAAATTTAAAATAATGTAATTAATTTTATTTTATATTTGTAACAAACCAAATCTATCTCATTTACTTTATAACAACCATTTTTATGGCTCCTATGTAAACTGTTGTAAGCCACAATTCTGAGATATAAAACTTTTTTAATATTTTTTTTAATTTGATAAATACTATTGATAACTTCTGTGCCAGTATGAAAGTAACTTCAAGGTAATAAAAAGAAAGACCTGTTGATTTTGGTTCACATTTGATTCATCTTGCATTTAAGTTTCAAACATATAAACGTAAAAACCATCATTGTATGCAGTAGAAATGGAGGATTCAGAATCAAATGGAGATCTAATTGTATTTTTTCTTTTCAGTTGTAATGACATACATTAATATAACAAGTGTGAAGTTATTTGTGAAAGTGCAGAACATATTTGGCATATGTAAAGTTTTCGCCTGTCTTATTGTTATTGGCGGAGGAATCTATGAAATTGCTAGAGGTAATTATACAATTATCCACTCAGATTTATTTAGTATTTCCTTAAATAGATACCTAATACTAAAACTACACTGAGAGAGTGTCTCCTTAATCTATACTAATATTATAAATAGAAACATTTGAATTTTTGTATGTATTAAAATAACTCAAAAACTACTAGGCTGATTACAAAACTTCTTTCACCATTAAAAAGCTATGTTATCAGGGAGTAACATGGGCTGTATTTTTTAATTTCACGCGGGCAAAGTCGCGAGCAACAGCTATTGTGTTAATAATTTAGAATGAATTAAATAGAATTGTGAGTTATTTAATTTATATTCTCGACTAGTTGTTTTTTGTCTATGCCTCGCAACCATAAATCCATAGACATTTTTTGTACTGGCAATATACATTTTTTTCTTACAGGCAACACGTACAATTTAAGCAAGGGTTTCGAAGGCAGCACGACTAGCCCGGGAGGTATGGCACTCGCGCTTTACTCCGGCCTGTGGGCGTACGACGGTTGGAATAGTGTCACTGTTGTTACTGAAGAAATCATCAACCCTGGCGTGTTAGTATGGGTATTACAGTTATAGATGGACTACTAGTTACAGATATTTAATGGAGTTTATTTTGATGTATTTGTATGACCAAAATTTTCTAGCTTAAAAGATTCATCAATATTTCTTATTGACTAGATATTTAATCCACTAGTTATGATTACTTTATTCTGATTTTTTTCAGTCTGTAGGTACTTTTATTTACAAATGTTAAATTGCTTTATTGACGAAGAAGGCTTTTGCCATTGGCTACTCGTTGCCATGGCAATCTTGCTACTTCCATACAGCTACATTGATCCATCCATTCATCTAAATCCATCCATATAGACTGTCGCATTTATAATATTAGTATGATTAAGAGTCCGTATTTTAGTATTCTAGACTA